AGAAAATCAGATTTTGTCAGTAATGCGATCAACACGTTTACATGCACTAGAGTAATCAGATAATGGGGAAACTCCGGGTCTACATGAGTCAGACAGTAATCAGATTTCTGCTTTGCAACCAGCCAATAAACTCACAGAAGAAGACGTGATGAAAACGTAAAACTCAAACTTCATGCCGCAGCTTTTTTTAAACATCGCTCCACCTGAAACTGTGAACACACATGATCTAGAAGATGAAGAATAATTAAATCCTTCATTTCGTCAAGCATGTATTTGGTTTCAGCGTTGCTCCAAAAGTGTTTTGCTGTGTCTCGAGGCGACGCTGCTCGCTTATTTCTGGTACCGCAGTCTGTTTCCGCACATGCTCAGACTGAGAAATCCGAAAGAAATCAGAGTAAGAGTTCACAGCACTGAGAAATCTGATTACTGAGCTAAAATCCAGCCTCTTCATCAGATTTCTTATTCGGATTTCTAGACTTTACTCTGATCTAAGAAATCAGAGTGTGCTGTTTATATGACCATTTGAATAATCAGATAACTGCAGAAATCTGATTATGATCGGATCACTGAGTGCATGTAAACTCATTCAATAAATACACACAAACTATACAAACTACACGATATACAGTAACTTTACAACCGTTAAGCACAAAACAGTCTGTTGGTCATCAGTAATAGTTGTGTGTGTTGTTTATCAATGAACTCCTGATAACGATGCTTTAATATTGCAACCACACAGATTAATGAGACTGCAGACAGTGTACAGAGTAGCGTCCACTCAGAGGACCGTTTCTCCAAATATTATAATAAAAATAATAGTGTAACATTCCTAAGGTATTTTAGCTGCTATATGTAGCCAGGTTGTTGATGTTAGCAGGTAAGGTGGTTAACCTGAGATACCTGCTGACACCTGATGCTCTTATTTAATGCAATGCTACGTTTGAAAGCTGGCTTTCTGTTAGGATGAGGTACTGATGCTGTCGTTGCTTGGCAACAGAAAAGAAGCAGCCTTCTAAAAACACTGTATGAACCACCAAGAAGGAATTTCAGTCTGACTCACTGTTTTCAGCCTCGACTGAGTTGGACTCGAGCCCAAAGCGAGGAGTGTCTGATAAAGGCGTTCTGTGTCTAAATCTGTTTTTCCTGGATCTGAGTGAGTTGTGTTGCTGTGAGTGTTCCGTAGGTGGGAAATGGATGAAGTGAACTTCTGTAGCTGTTCTTCTGTTTAACTGGATTTAGTGTCAAATATGGAATAAAAGTCACTGTGTTCACAGTTTTGATATTTTTTAAAATGCAGGTTCTTTTTTCTCTGTTCCAACTGATCAGATGTCTGAAAAAATAGAAAAAACAAATATTGTGACATACTGTTTCATGTTTTTTAAAGTATTGCTATATCATATTTTTGCCATATTGCCCCCCTCTGATGTAAACTAACCAGTGTGGTTTCTCCTGTTTTGTCATTTGAGGGATTCATTGTTCATTTTTTATTTATATATTTTTTAATTGTGGAAATTTCTACTTTTTTAATGCCATTTTGCTGATAATCCATATCAGCTGAACCCCATGTGTCAAACACAAGGCCTGTGGCACAATCCTATTTGGCCTGCAAAATTATTACAATTTTCTATTAATATTAGCTATTTCACCATGAGCTGCACTACAGTTCCCAGCATGCAGTGCAACATAATGTGTGCTCCCAACCCCTCCCCAACAACGATCTGTGGGACAGCACCACCTGCTTGTAGGCTGGGGATATTTAAAGAGTTTAACAGTGATCTGTAGCTAATTAGGTCTATTGTTTTATTATAGAAAACAATTTTTTTATTTCAAATTATTTTTGAATCGTTAAAGTGCTCAGTGCCGATTTTATGCCGTTGTAGTTTTGGCATATTTTGGACAAACAGTGGTCAGTTGGGTTCATGGCAAAATAAAAATATAATAAACACAGCTTTCTCACAGACCTGGTGAGATTTTTTAATTTGGCCGTTTTTGGTGGTTGAGTTTGACCCCCCTGACCTGGACAGTCAGGATGATCCGCCTGTGCCGTCACCTCGCTTTATCTTCGAAAGGTCGAGAGCTTTAGTCGCTCTTTCACACTCAGGCTGATGTTTATGAGCCGAGCTCTACATAAATGCTCTCCTGAGTTGGTGAGGCATCATGGGACTTTAATATGAGGTAAACAAAGCGAGCTGTAGACGCTGGTGGATACCAGTGAGACGCCGGTATCTCCTCATGCCTTCATTACCGAAGCTCATATCAGCGCTGATACAGGAAGATGGTATAAACGGCATTTCATTCATAATCACTGTTACATAATCGCCTGATCAGTTGTCGGAAATGACGGTTATTTTTGGTAACTGTTGTTGTCCACATTCGCTGCAGCAAGCAGAAGGTGAACTGGGTGAGTTCAGCAATGTAAATAAAAGAAAGCAGAAAATGTTTTCATTGTAACAAAGTAATGCAGGTGTACTTGTCAGCTGGTCCTCATGGTTTTAGCATGTGTGCTTTCAGAATGAGTGTTTATATTATATTGTTTTTTTTTTTATATATATTTTTACTCTGTGTAGCTTTGCTGGACTCTACTCAGGATCCTGTGTACCTGCAGACAGTCTAGTCCGTCATTTCAGCAGTCCAGTCAGGATTGGCTTCTTATCAAACACGGCTCGGGAGCGCGATGGCTAATCAGCACTGTTTCGTGATTTGAGTCTGGTGCCGGATGCTGTTAGCGGAGGCTTTAGCTGTGGGCCGACAGCAAGCGTGGTTTCATTATTATGGTATTTATTATCGACGTGTTCAGCTCCTCCTCCACATCTGGTTTCATTAAAGAGCTGGGCTGAGTTCGGCCCCGACAGACCACGACAAAACGCTAATTTAAATGGAAACGGTGGTGCGTTGAACACTGTCGTGTTACGAAAACGTTTCAACTACGGCAGCTGAGAAGGACATTCTTGGTGTCCTTTTTCCAAGAATTGGATGGGTTTAAATACGTGAACGAAGCCAATTATTTAAACAACTACATTATAAAGTTGAAATGCTTTCAAAATCCACACATACAGTAACCCACAGTAAGTTAAAACTTAATAATTATTAGCCTATTCTCCTAAAAATGTGGTAACAAGCAATTGAATTCGTTTTATTCGACCTAAATAAATACTTTGAACGATTTTTTAGCTCACAGTAATTTTTTGAGTTGAATAAAATTCGTTCCGTTGTTTGTTACCACGTAAAGCAATTTTGTTCAGTTGAACTGACGAGAGATTTTTTACAGTGTACTTACGACAAATACGTCTTCTAACGTCTTCAGTGTTTTTGTATACTAATCTGCAGTGGCTGCATTTGTAGAGAACTTATATAGGAATAATAATAATAATAATAATAATAATAATAATACATTAGACTAATATAGCGCAAGGTCAGTTTACAGTGTGGGGGGGAGTACTAGAGGGAGTAAAAGTGTTGAGAGAAAAGGCAGGTTTTTAGCTGAGCTGTGAGTCTTTATTAAGCCTTAATAAACTCCATTGTGTGCTGCCTTTTTAATAAACGTGGGGTTTCTAAATGTGGCTGCTGGTTGGCTAACACCTCTGACACATCCTTCAAATGAGAGAAAACACACCTCAAGTCTGCTCACCTTTTCACACCTTTTCACACCTTTTCACACCGTTACACCGTTTCCACTGAACGCCCTGTTTTTACTGCCCTGTTTGTGTCTGTGTTTGTGTGTAAAGCTCCAGTAAGACTGTGAAAGCTTACTGAACTAAAACCCCCCAAAACGCTTTCGTGCAAATATTCGTGCTGCGGTCTCGATATCTGATACAGCGTGAGCTCTAGAGATGAGTAATCGGGTGGAGAAAGGGTTAGAGGGGAATAACAGGAAGTGTTTGAAGTCCATCTTTCATTCACTAACAGCTTTTAAATACACCATTTTACACGGTTTCATTCACTAAGAGCTTTTAAATACGCAGTTTCACACTTTCATTCATTAACAGCTTTTAAACACCGTTTCACACTTTTTGTTCACTAACAGCTTTTAAACACCCTGTTTCACTGATAATGTGACGTACAAATGCGACAGAACTCTCTGCCCCCCCCCCCTTTGTACTAAGCTTCAGCCTGAGGTCAGTTAGTCCAGTTTATGGTCAAATGAGTGACGTCAGACTGTAGTGAGTTCATGAGTTAACAGGGAAAAGAGAGCAGAATGAAAAGCCAGTCTCTTGGGGTTAGCCGTTAGCCCTTAGCCTTAGCTGCTCAGCCGGCTGCTTCAGGCGACGCCGCGGTCTCGGTGCGGTCTACACCTGGGAGATGATTTTCTTTTCTAACTCTGCGTTTTAAAGATCTCAGACGCTGCAGACTCGATCTCCACCGCCCCTCTGATCACCTTCGTGTGTTAATGTTGATGATGAAATATTACAGTGATGGTGGTGAATAATGAGGAGACGGAGCTGAACGTGTGTCTGTTTATTAGGAGGAGTAACGTTAGCGCGCTCGGCTAAAGCGTTTGGGAAACGGAGACTGAAACTGGGGAGCGGCGACGCTCTGATAAACAGCAGGGGGCGCTCTCACAGTATTCACTACTTACAGTTTATCACAGTTTAGTTCTGTTTGACCTTTTTTACATCAGTAACAGCAGCTTAACTCACATTTTAGCCAGTAAGCTGTGGATGTGATGTCACAACACATAGAGGTTTGCTTGAATCTGATTGGTCTAATTGATCTGCAGGCAGTTCACAAGCTCTGTGTTATTAGGTTAAATTTCCCCATTTCAAACTCAAGACAACGATGTTGATAATTTAGGCTATAATATTAAAAAATTGCAGCTCTTGCAATTTTAAAATTGCACTCTTTTAGATTCCGATATAGAAACAATGAATCTTTCAGCCCTGCTGCCCACTGTTACTGGGCTTTAGCTGGTTTGTGATGGTGATGTGGTGGACAGTGTGTACGATCTCTTCCGCACTCTGACTGAAGTGCATGCTGGTCTCTCTGTGTTGTTTGTGGAGCAGAATCAGAGTCGGACAGGCCGGCGGTGATCACGGTGTCTCAGGACTGGGTTCCCATCCTGGATAAAGTGTTTGGTCAGAAGTGGTGCAGTGACCTGTGGCAGATTAAGGAGCTGAGCAGCAGTAAGGAGGAGTGTCCGGCGCTAGGCTCAGGGGTCACACGGGACGTGGACGGCCTGGTCCAGGAGAGTTTAGCACCAGCCCCTCAGAGGAATGCCGAGGTCACGCCGGACCCGCCTCAGTGGCTGCAGGCTCATGATACAGAGGTGGTGACCTCTGACCCCCAGTGTACTTCGGTCAGCAGCTCAGTAGGTGAGTGCTGATAAACTGCTCTACAAAAATACGAGTGAGTAATAAAACAGTAATACTGATATTACCTTTTCTGTTTGAGTATTAAACTATTAAATTATTTAATGATAACCCAACATCTTTTGAGAACCTGCTGCAAACAGAGCGTTCATGAGCTGCTTCTGCTGCACTTTCGCAGTCTTGTGTGCTAATAGCGCTCCCTGCTGGAGAAACTTCAGACTGCAAGTGATTTCCAAAGCCGAGCCTGTGCGTTTTCCACATTAAAAACAAGGCGTTTCCCGTCGTAATAGCTGCGCTTTAATAATTCAGCACTTAGTCTGTACAGAAAACACTGAACACCCCGCAGACGAGGAGCAGAGGAACTTTCTCTCCAGGTTAGAGTTACGTAATCCATTCACGTGACGTTAATGAATAGAATGTGCGCATGCGAGTCGTTTCAGGACGCCTGTTCGTTCACATTAATAACAGATCTGAGTCACTTACCTGCAACAGTGTGAACCCTCAAGTTAGAGAAATCAGATCTTAGCAAAAAATCTGATTCGAGCAGTGAGGCTTGTAATGTGCACATAGCCTAAATGTGAACCTCATCACAGTTTGGTTTTATTTTTACATATTTAGAATGGCAGCTTTTGAGCCACCCTAACTCACATCTTTGGTAATGGATTATCAACCTCGAGTGTGTAGTTCAGGGTTGCCTGACTTGAAATTAGATGTTGAGATAACATATCGCTGCTGATTTTTATTGTTTTTCAGTTTTTGCCAGTCTGAAAATGCCTGTTGTTCTTTACATTGTGTCTAAATTTCATGATGAATGAAGCAAACAAAATGACCCAAAATTACCTGGAAAGATGTCTGGTTCCACTGACTTACATTAAAAGTAAAGTATGTTTTTTCCTTCTCCTGTAAAGTTACCATTTTGTTCCAACAACAGCGAAATAATTCTGTAATAAGAATTTGTGAACAAACTTATCGTGAACATCTCAGATCTTGACTTAGGCCTACCCTGCTGAGAAAACTGCCTAGACCAGCATGAATTCCAGCTAGTTTATGTTGGTCTTGTGCTGGTTTAGCTGGTCCTGGTGGTTGTCCAGCATACCAGCATCCAAAACAGATCACATGTCCGGCAGAAGCTTTGTTGTCTTCTGTTTCTTGTAGTTTCCTCTGTAATCTGACCTGTGTTTTTTTGGATTAAGGCAGTTATTGTCATGTTATCTGTTTTGCAGGTGACGAGTCTCAGTTGAAGTCCCCCTCGATGCTGCATCGCCTCCTCACGCTGCCCTCCCAGCTCCTGGAGGATGATAACGAGGAGTCCATGGAGGCTCTTTCCAGCCTGGCTGACCCTGAGGAGCTTCGGGTCATCACGGTAACCCCGGGTCAGAGCGGTCAGGCCCTTCAGCAGGAGAAAGCGGGCGATGAGGAGGAGGAGGAGGAGGAGGAAGAGGAGGAGCACGAATCCTCCAGGAACAAAGGTGGAAAAAAGCTTCATGTGTGCAAAGAGTGTGGCAAGAAGTTCAGCCGATCGAACCTGCTCAAAATTCACCGGCAAACGCATAAGGAGAAGGAAACGGGCATCCACTGCCCGCAGTGCGGGAAAAACTTCTCTCAGCTGACCAAACTCCAGGCCCACCTACGGACGCATTCGGGCAAAACGACGTGAGCGGGCTGGAGGGGTAATCGGAGCAAAAAATGAGGGTTAAAAAGGGTCCAGTAGTGGTTTTCCTACGACGGTTTTATGGTTTCTTGGTTTTATGGAGAGATGACTGTGAGGATCTTTACCATTGGCGTTTCCAAACTGCTAGTTTGAAGGTACAAGACGTGTAGAATAGGACAGATTTTCCATGCTTTGTACTCCGGTTTTTTAGCCGTCTTCACTTTTTTAACCTCCAGATTTGCTTTTCACTCATTGGAAAAACATGGACCCCACTTACGTTGCAAACAGTGAAGTGACCTTTCTGTGTTTTTAAACGTTCTGTTTCAGAAAGTGCTTTCAGACATGATTTTGCTCTTGGACTGGATGGCGAAAGAGCACCACAGTGGATTGCAGCACTGCTAAGACATTTTTGTATTTAAGACGAGGAAAACGAGGCTTGTCTGTTGTGAAACTGTATCAATAGAGAAATACAACAGCATCGTCTGAAATCGAATGTGAACCGTAGCTCATCTGGGACGAGGCGGTAGCAGCGAGAAAGCTGTAGTCTTACACGATGAAAATCGGTCGAGCATCTCGTTCAGCTGTTAATTTTCCATCTCCGAGCGAGGTGGAGTGAACAAGCGGTTTGTAACAGAACATCATGGCTCTTAGTCTTCATTCACACAGGACTCAACACAAAATACCTCTGCAGAAACGGACTGTAAACATCAAATCCGACAAACGGGATCAGAAACTTGATCTCTAAATGAAGAATTTGTAAAATAGTTCGGCACGACGTAATCAAAACTGACACATCCACATATCTGTAGTGTATGAACTGCGAGATGAACCTTTCCAGGTTTGAGGTTGGATGTCATCGCGGCTCTGGCCTCCTGAGAGAAGAGCTCTTGGGGGCGTTTATGCAGAACTCGATGGCTTTCAGGCCGGACTGATTCTGGAACTCCGAAAGGAACATGGTTGGGGTTCTTCGTGTTTTATTGAGGGGGTTCTCCTTGCCTTTCTATTTCTATCTTAAAGGCATGCACTCTTTACAGAAGCGTCCTGAACTAGAGTAGTGTCTTCCTGTTCTGATAGTGTAGTATTTTTAATGTTTAGGGTGGATATTGTAGGTGTATCTTCAACTTGCAGCAGTGAGTTTGCTGCCAACTCTGCAGAGTTAAACATAGACGTCACAACTTTGGTAGAATCCACTCGATCATGGAGCCTTTGTCTTTGGAGGCTTTGCTTCCACATAGAGGCAGCAGACCCCAGTGGTGTGGATCGCAGGTCCTGGAGGGCCAGAGCACCCAACGAAGAGCTAATCTAAGGAAGAATTTGGCAAAAAAATCAATCGGATATACACAGTTTACCCCCCTCACTCAGTCTCAGATGTAGTCAGTTAGCTGAGACACGTTCGGAGTCTGAAGGTCACTTCTTTAGCTTTAGCGCTGGAGCTACGAGGCTAATGTAGCTAACAAGTAATGGAAGCTTATATCAAGATATTAAAAATCTGCACTGACCACTCAGGCCAGCCTTTTGGCCAGTATGGAGAATTCGTGGCCAGAATTATAGAAGCATGTTTAGCATATTTACATTCTGGGTCATGCTTCAGCACCAAAGACCAGTCAGGTGTTTGAAAATGGTTCTGTGTAGCACCAAAATGGGTTCTCCTAACAATAGAAGAACTCTTTTTGGTGTTACATAGACCCATTTTCAAACACCTTCAATATAGAACCATATACAACACATTCTCCATCAATCTGAAGAACGATTTCACCATGTAGAGAACCATTTAAGCATGAAATGGTTCTCTGTAGCAGCCATGGTTCTAAACAAAACCATTGCCTTTACTAAAGAACCTTTCTTAAGTGTGTACATGCCTCGTAGCTCCAGTGATGACACTAAAGAAGCAAACTTCAGACACTGAACATCTAGGCTAACAGCTGCAGTGAGGTGACCCTCCAGATCTTCTGTTCTACCCCACTGACCTGCTGCCTGGTGTCTCTGTGGATGCAGGACGTTCTGTCCTGGTCCACTCTGAACTGTGTTGGCATTCCCACTTTAGAGGTTTTTTACAGCGTCTCTGTAAGTGACTCATGGTGTTGAAGGTGTTCCTCACGGTCCTCACGTCTATACCTCATCATCCAGACCATGGTTTGTGTGTCTTCTGCAATAATAAGGAGAAGAAGCAGCAGCAGCTGGTCCAAACGTTTACAAAGGCATGCTTGCAAAAACAGGTCGGGACTGACGCCGTTATCGGGTTATCGAGGAATGGATTCAAAGCCTTTTTATCAGACTGTAAAATTTTGTTTGATTTATTATGTAACGTTATGAAACGTTAGAGATTGTGGCCTAGTTTAAGAGCTCGGTTCAGCTCAGATAATGGACGATGAGGCACTATGAGCAGGCCTTCCAAGACTGAGCTACATTAGTGCAGATCTTCCTAACCATCTAACGTCAGATCTTGTGATATTGGCGCCAAATTCATACTGAAATCAGATGAAACAGCTTTATGAATTTTTGTATTTGTTACAAATGCATTATACACTCATCAAGCCCTTTATTGGGAACGTTACGAGCCACAGAGAACGAGAGTGGGCTCTGTCACCAGACCAAACATCGACCACCGTTTGAACCAGACAGCAGCTCAGGTTGGTTATATTTCCTTAAATCTCAGTGGGGTAACAGTTTTGGGTCTAATAACATCTAATAAACGTGGACCCCAGCGTGGTCTTGTGCTGTTGTAGCCCATCAGCTGATGATGTAATGCACTGCTGCCATGTGATTGGCTGATTAGATCCTGGTTTAGTTCCTAATAAAGTGCTTGGAGAGTGTTCAGTGGCCAAAACAGAACCAAAAAACACAACTACACTGCTAAACATGGTCTCTTGTCAAGTGAAATGATCTTAAATATAGTCGATATATGTAACCTTTCCCATTTTTAGATGGATGTGCACTGATTATAAGATTATTCAACTTATTTCCAGAATTGTTTTACTTGTTTTAGGTAATTTTAGTAAGTAAGATTATCTCACTATACTGGCAGATCATTTTGCTGGTTTCATTTCTTAAAACAAGCACAATTATCTGCCAGTACAGTGAGAGAATTTTACTAAATTTTACTAAAATTACATAAAACAAGTAAACAAATGTCTAGAAATGTGTTAAATAAAATTAAGTTAAGCTTACAATCAACAGGACAAATATTAGATTTATTAACAATATTTAAGATAATTTTACTTGACAAGAGACCATTTTTTGCAGTGCAGCAGTCTCGAGCAGTTTACAGTCATGTGCAAAAGTTCGGGCACCCCTGGTCAAATCACATTTTGTTTTTTTCTGCTTTGTTTTTATTTTAAGTGTAAATAAGGTAACACCTCCTCTACAAACTGCACATTTTAACACACAATTACTGTTTATTTACTGAATTTAATATTTTGGAGGGAAATAAAACACAAAATGTAGCCTGTGCAAAAGTTACGGCACATTTTATATTATTTTTTCCCTTATTTTCACATAGAAAACCAGCAAACCGTAAAGTCCAGCCTTTTGCATCTGACTGTACTGCAGAATGGAGCGGTTCCTCACGTGTCCCATCTTATTTTAACCTTGTTGTAGTTTGTAATTTGATTTTTAAGATTTTTCAACAGTTCTGATTTGTTATAAACCTGATAAAAGCCTCTCCTGATTATCTGTAATTTGCATTTTTAAACGAGGCCGTAATCCTCCTCGGTTAGGTTCTTTGCATTGTGAGGATGCAGCACTCCTGAACAAACATAAGCTTTTAAAGATGGTTCTTTAGTTGTTCTTTAGTAAAGGCAGCGGTTCTGTATACGAGCATGAACACTCAAAGAACCCTTTTCTTGCTTAAATGGTTCTTTGTTTCAGATTGACGGAGAATGTGCTGTTTATGATTCTATATAGCACCAAAAAGGGTTCTGATAATCTTACACTCTTAAAAAAGATGGTTCTTCCAGGGTTCTTTAGTAAAGAAAATGGTTCTGTATAAAAGCGTGATAACGCCAAGAACCCTTTGCATGATTAAAGAGTTCTTCAGATTGATGGAGAATGTGCTGTCAATGGTTCTGTGTAGAACCTTTTTGAAAAGAGTTCTATGTAGCACCCAAAAGTGCTATTTTATCGATTCCATCATCACAATACTTTTGGGTGCTATGTAGAACCCTTTTCAAAAAGGTGCTATATAAAACCATCAACAGCACGTTTTCCATCAGTCTTTCACAATGCAAAGGGTTCTTTATAGAACCATTGTCTTCACTAAAGAACCGGTGTAGAACATCTTTTTTTAAGTGTCAGTTCGGGCTTATAACAATAGCAGAACCCTTTTTGGTGCTATAAAGAACCATTTTCGAAAATGTTCTATATAAAATCATATACAACACATTCTTCATCAGTCTGAAGAACCGTTTCACCATTCAGAGAACTCTTTAATCATGCAAAGGGGTCTTTGAGTGATCATGCTTTTATATAGAACCATTTTCTTTACTAAAGAACCCTGGAAGAACCATCTTATTTACGAGCGTAGTCTTTCCAGCTGGAGCGGAACCGTAAGCGGAGCAGAGTTTCAGCCACTCTTCACGATGCTGAATTGCGTCTGGCTGCTGTTAGAACTCGCGAGTGCTGCTCGTCACGTCGAGCGGTTCGGTTCTTCTTATCTACTGTATGCTGAGCATGAGAATAAGGGCGGAACTCTGACCTGCAGCCAGTCGGACCGGGACTAGAACGTTTTTTGGCTGTTCAGGTTGCCATATGTTGGTGTTCATAGCACATAATTGTACTTTTTATATACTTTTTTAATGATATTGTAACGTTAACTTTATTTGCCATTTTTCCACTATAGAAAGTGTAACTGGTCAGTTGTTGTAGCTTTAAAGGGCCATTAAGGTGACATGATCCAGAAGATGAAGTTATAAACCATTTTTCCTCTTTTTATTTTGCTTTTTTGTTTGTTTTTGTGAGGAATATGAGCCATATCCCCATCAGGACTCTGTTAATTAATTCAGCAATTTAGTTTTAAAGTCCGATTTAACCTTTAAAATCAGATCAATAAATCATAACGTTCCTAATGCACTGTCTCGTTTCAGATCGTACAGGTTTACGTCACGCAGTTTATTTATACGTAAAGAATGACCTGCCCTCAGAGAGACCACAGTATGGTGAGATTTAGAAACACTGAACTTCAGTTTTTCCCTCAATAAATAATGTTAATTATTCTGGAGTCTGGAAGGCAAATTCCACCATTTTTTCAAAATTTCTGTATAATTCAGTCTAAATCTGATAAATAAGTAAAACTTTGGGGACTATTTTGCCTCATTTAACTATGAATTAATTTTAGAAATGCATTTTAGTAATTCTTTGGTATAATTTATTTACATTTTTTAGTACAGTTTATTTTAATTAATTTATTTTGGTAAAATAGTGGAAAATCTGAAATAATAAGTTTTCTTTGGGGACTATTTTGCCTCACAGCGCCCTGCATGTATCCCTCCACCATGAATGGAGTTTAAGTTCTCTAAACTATCATAAAACAGTGTCTCAGTCATCAGGCAGTGAATTCATAACCATTTCATGTAGGAACTTTCTGTGAGGGAGCTTTTAGAGGTGGACGTCTGGTTCCTATCACCACCACTGTGAACAGTTCCGACACCAAACCACTTTGTTTACATGCAGAAATTTTGAAGAATGGGTGGAATTTCTCTTCAGAAGGCCTCAGAATGTCTGGTCTTTGTAGACACTCTTAATGTGCGCGCTGCTCTTTATTTTTCTCTCTTTATTCAGTCCACTGTCGTTGTTCCAGCCGAAATGTCGGTTCTTTACTGCAGTGATGCTGTGGACAATTATAAAATGCTCAATGCAAACCACAAAAGCCAGCGTCACATTTTACCGTATGCATTTCATGGTTCCTTATGCCGCAGAACCACTGTCTGCCACTGTTCCTCCAGAACCGAGGAACTTCATAATATGCATTTTATATTTGCTTTCATACTTACTGTCCTTTGTGTCGTACAGTAGCGCTGTACATACCTGTTTACGGATGTGTTGCTGGGGCTTTTGCGTCACTTGAGCTTGATGGTTGGATCGAATCTGGACGAGGCTTCTTCTGAATGACCAGTGTCCCATTTTGCACTTTGCTTTTTCCATTCCTCCACACTGCCATACCTCAGTGTCTCGTGGGTCAGCAGGAGGGCGTTACAGTAGTAAGACAGGTGGCCCATTTCATTACCTCACGCAGCGGCGATGTTCTACCATGTTCTTATCATGTTCCCCTTTGTGTCTTCATGTTTTATCAAACTGCATTGGGTTGTCCTGCCAGACGCTCTGAGCGGTCAGGGGAAATAGTGCACTCGGTCAGAAAAACGAACAGATTTAAGCAGGCATTTCAGCAGTTACTCCACTGTTTCTGCACTAAGACTGCTGGATGTGCTTCTGCTTCATCCTGATTTTAGCTCTTATGTGCGCTGCAGGTTCAGATGTGACTGTGCTGACTTCTGAGAATATAAACAATCTGAGATGTAGAACAGAAACGAGGAGGCATCAGTTACACTTTCGAGATCCACACAATACCCACTAAAGAATGTGTTTGTGGGCGGAGCGAGGCGAGGCGAGGCCAAAACAGAACACAAGGCTGGTCTGTAGTTTTATTGTTTTTGCTCTTCCAATACATGAATCTGGAACTCAGACATACATTCTGGTTGAAACCAATGAGGTTCTGTATAAAAGTGTAATGTTTTTGAGGTGTAATCAGAGAGGTTCAGAGTGGTTTGGTGTGAAATGGTTCAGATGTCTTTACAGTGGTGGTGATAGGAACCAGGGGTCGCCATGACTACAACACAGATATAGACATTTTATTTACTATCCAGAACCACCAGTGAACCTACACGAGTCTTCTGAGTTTATATGGAATGTTGATGATGGAAAATAGTGGAGAATCTGAAATAATAAGTTTTCTTTGGGAACTATTTTGCCTCACAGCGCCCTGCATGTATCCCTCCACCATGAATGGAGTTTAAGGCCAAAACTATCATAAAACAGTGTCTCAGTCATCAGGCAGTGAATTCATAACCATTTCATGTAGGAACTTTCTGTGAGGGAGCTTTTAGAGGTGGACGTCTGGTTCCTATCACCACCACTGTGAACAGTTCTGACTCTGTAAGTTTCTCTAGAACGGAGCGTTTCACACCAAACCACTCTGAATCACTCTGTTTACAGCTTGACCACTTAATTATGCTGGAATTTTGAAACAATGGGCGGAATTCCCCTTTAAGGCTCTAGCTAAAACTGTGGTATTGGGTCTAAAGTAAGTTTTGGTGCCAAAACAGTGGAGTATCTGTAGAAAAAGAACACAAATCAGCTTTCAGTCTTACAGAGACCTGCGACGGGCCGAGGATTCTGTTTTTAATCATCACTTTTTCTTTTGTAGTACCACACGCTGAGAGCCGTGCGGCCTTTTTGTTTCGGTTTTTACTGAATATTCCAGAGTGTTTCAGCAGCAAAGCAGATTCAAGCATGAAAACTGTTGGATGCAAACAAATATACAACTTTTAAAAGGGATTAAATATGAATAATTTCAGTTTAGCCATATAGTAATAACTAAACATTAAAAATACACTGTTATGGTTCTAGACAGAATCGTTTATCTGTTATAGATTAGGAATGTGACCTTCAGAAACGAAGCTGGAGGAGAAATTTGGCCTTCAAATTTGTGGAAATGTGTTTTCTTTTTTTAATCTTTAGGTAAAGGGATTTTATGCTCATTTGTATCTTCTTTTTTAATTAGAGAGGTTTTATAATAGCAGTTTTGCCCTCCTGCTTATTAGTGTTTAATTCCCCGATTTGTATCCGTCTGATGGAGGTTTATTTCTAAACTGTAGCTTTTAGTTTTCATCCTGATTTATGGGATTATGTAAAAAAGGGAAGTGGTTTGAATTATGATGTGTGTAATTCTGTATAATGAAGACAAAATAAAAGACCCTTTGTTCGTTTTTTTTTTTCTCCTCATAGCAACAGTCACCACGTCCACTCTGAATTTCACCAGATCATCATGTAGGCGATGATGCCATAATGATGTGATCGTTGTAACATTTTATATACGTTGGATATGAAACTGGGTAGTTACTGTGTGAAAAATAAAGATATTATGTTAGAGTTATTGGTTCTGTGTGATTTACTGTCAGTCTTAACTGCTTTAAGATCATTTAATGCCACACTGTGACTTTACAGTATATGGCCAAAGGTATGTGGACACCCCTCCTAATTACTGAGTTCAGGGGCTGAATTACAGAAACTTCCT